CATAGAAAATACAAAGTACCCACAGAAAAAAACAAAGTACCCATAGAAAATACAAAGTACCCATAGAAAATACAAAGTACCCATAGAAAATACAAAGTACCCATAGAAAATACAAAGTACCCATAGAAAATACAAAGTGGAATAAAAAATGCTAAGTGTACCTATGGGCCTTCGTATATATTAATGCCGCCACCAACAACACAGGGGACAGTACAATACTCATTTTCACCTGAGCAAAGTGAGGGAAGTCATGTAAAGTGCCTTTCCCAAGGGCACAAGATCGGTGGCATGTCAGGACTCGAACTCGGGACCTCACGACACGACGGTATCAAATTGACCAGGCGGTATCCATTGGCCAGATAGATACCTACCGTACAAAAAGATATCAGTACAAAAAGACAGTCCGATAAAACGTCTAAACACGTCAAAAATAAGCCAAACCCCAAACCTCTGCTTGGAGAGCTAGTACAATGTACACATGTATGTCGCATCTATCCGCAACAGCTGTTGAAAATATTCAAATATGTCAAGTTGAGAATTTCGTTTGCCTTAACCGGAAAAGATATAACGATAAAAAGTTTTCGTGATATAGCCTGCTGAATCGCCCTATAAAAACGCTTACCTAGTAGTATTTGAACAGAGCATTATATAATGCACGAGGATAACCACGTGTCATAACACAGGTGCATGGTAAAGGTTTAAAGCCCCTGTCACACTTTTACGAATTTGGCCTCCTGAACACTAGCCGAACGCCGGGAGCCCATGCTATACTAGAGGTCGAAGATCTCATGTCTTCGTCAGAGGTACATCGTTCTAGAGAAATTAACATGCGTATTCTTCACTCTTTTTAATGATCAATTTGGTCCAAAGAACAAAAGAATCTCTGTATCATTTTTATGGTACAGAACACCCTGAAACGGTTTGCCGCAGATTATACAGATGCGTCGTCACCCGTGTTAGCCCCCCCCCCACGTTACTTTGAGTTTGGACTGTTACTGGAAAAAAACGTTCAAGAAATTCTTACTGTGTTGAAAGTGTCACGACAGCGCCGCAAAATATAATAAGAGAAGATGTTATAAAGGAAAGAATCAGAACAGGGTGACTACTGCTGTTTTGTTAATTTGTCTTTATGACAAATAGAAGACTTGTTTCTTGTGTTCTTTGTGTCCTAACATTTGTACTTCTACAGTTAGTATATTCCAAATCTAGGCATCTCGTTTTTCGGCCCTTCGTGTTTTTATTGCGCGCTTGCCTTAAATTTAAGGTAATTAGATTTAAGGTCTCCAGTGGACGTCATCCATAGCAATTACTTGGTGTGGCCGTAGAAAATAACCTGACATATGTCCAACCTATCCTCCCCCTGCTGAAGTTATAGTACAATCCCTCAATGTAACGTCATTTGATCCCATCCCATTATGGGGTTCCCCGCTATATCCAGCTGTCGGCTGTCTCCAAGCAGATGTAGGTGGGGGATTTCTAAACACAAAAGGTCCTATTACGGGGACATAACGACCTCCACGACTCTCATCTTTGAACTCAATCTTGGAGACCACGACAGTAATATGCCTATCACATTTCATTAACTTCCATCCACACATACAAAAGTTATCCTGCTCACAAGAAAAATTAACAAAATGCCCCCTGTAGTCACAACGAAACCCCCCACGAAGCTCAGTAACGAACTTAACCTTGGTCCCGACAATAGTAAGCACCACACCAAGAATTATAATCAACATTGTACAAATACTTGAGTTATCTTGCTAACAAGCCACAAACACAAAAGGTGCACTAACGTGACACACGGACCCCCCACGAAGCCGAAACTTGTACTTGACTTTGGCCTCAACAGCGGTAATATGCCTGCCAAAAATCATGGACGTCGAATCATGCCTTCCAGAGTTATATCGCAAAATCCGCAGTTCCCCACACTCCGGCGAGACAATTTCATAGTCCTTCTGACGAAGACAAATATATAATAATAATAAGTATTCGGAAAAAGGTACACTCGTAGTTGCTGAAAACAAAAGATTTTCTATAATAAATGCAACGCAAATCCAAATGTTAATTAACAGAAATGAGAATTTTAAACGTTAAAATGACAACAAAAAAATTCAAATATAACGAAACTTATTAAGTATGATATTAAGTGAACAGAATATCAGCTGCATAATAGCCGCACTCCCCCCCCCCCATGCTCATCCATTACAGGGGAACCTTTTCACTAAACGTAACTTCTATACTTCATTGTATAAATATTCTCACACAAAAAATTCAAAAAATGCATCGGTATGTCCAAAGTCCTGGCAGTTTAATGCGCTTTTCCACATGAAAAGAAGAAGACAGGTATAATGTTACATCAACGATATTGTTCTGCCCACTTTGATGGCCACCATTGATGCAGGCTTTCTTATGCTACCCTCTGGAAATTTCACTGAAATGTACTGAAGTATACTCTAGATAAAACCAAGCCCTTCAGCCAAGGGTTAGTTATGATCATAAAAACGGGGATTGTATCATGGAAGTTCATCTGTGTTGGTAGTAATTATTGTACGATGCTAAACTTTATTCCAACACAAAAAATACTAGACACCAAACAAGACTACTTTATAAAGGAGGCCATGTATATATGGGCACTCCAGCCATCACTGAACAGACGGTACCGGTGGACGATATAAACTACCTGGCACGTATCCGTAAAATCTCGCGTGACTAAGGTCACGTGTCTGCAACCGTATCTCTCGCGAGATCACGTTGTGAAGTGATTGGTCATTAATTATCCTGATGAAGGCAACAGTGGTTGTTGCAAATTTGATTCCTGTGTTTTCTTTGTGTTGGAATAAAGTTTAACATTGTACAAAACAGGAATTGAGTTACATGTACATGATCATGACAGCCATGTTAACTGGAATGATACATTTTCCATATGACGTTGTCATACAAAATTGAATACTCCATATTCTTCATTTTCCCAATTATGTCAGCAACAGTTGTTTAATGTTAGCAATTATGAGCAAATATTTTTGTACATTTGTAATCTATGCTCCAAAAAGTGATCTATTTGTATGGCATTTCTTTAGTCATATATTAGCTTGAAAAACATTTATTAAGGTCAAATTATTAGGTTAAGACATTCACAATAATTCATACATGTTTATTTCTTGTTACGTTTTCTTCCATGCATCTTGTTTGGTAAGTTTTGCATTGGTTTACTTACTAAGGAAAAACAGTACAGGTGTCATAAAAGTTTTATATGAGCAGATACTGTAGTTGTAAAATATGTCAATCTCAGATCACGTCATAACTTGAAATTCTCATTTTCTGCAAGCAAGATATGCTCCAAAAATGTGGATCGGCACAACTTGTTCACACTATCATCTACATTATTGTGATTCTTATGATCAACAAAAGATGAAAATCTTTTAACATGAACTAACATCATATCAGAAACTTTTAACTTGTAATTAACAGTTGCTATGCAGTGATTATGAATTTAGGCTTCATGCATATCAATTAAAATCATGAACATTAATTACTGAAATTCTATACAACATGCAAACTCATGCATCTAAATATCCATTATTATCTAGCATAGTTTCATGCAATATGTCACAGAATTTTCCAGCATGCAATTTTCCTAGACTATTCATGATCCCAGCATGCACCTGTCATATAGCTACACATGTACATGCCCTGCAACTCTCAACTACCCAACATGCACTTCTTCCTACAATAATTCATTATCCCAGCATGCATCTCTCCTATGAACCGTTTTTTTTGCAATTCATATCATACCATGCAATTCCGCACTTCGACTAATCTACCATCATGCATCTCTTCCTACCATCATGCATCTCTTCCTACCTTCATGCATCTCTTCCTACCATCATGCAATTTTTCCTACCATCATGCAATTCTTCCTACCATCATGCAGCTCTACTTACATGTACCAGCATGCACCTGCAAGCATTAGTCAAAACACTGCAACATTTTCAACTGATATTGGTAATAAAAAACAAACTGTGCCTGACTTTGAATGCATTTCAACTGCAGAGCACCCCAGCCTTTCTTAGTTGAGAATTTCAAGATATGAAGTTTCTAGGATTGTTGGTATGCAGTTATCAAGTAGTAAGTAGAAGTAAGGAATAGAGCAAAGGTTAAAGAATACATTCTTAAACTGCAAATACATTACATGCATTAAGGGTATAAAAATTTGATGTCATACAACTCAATAAAGCAGCATTCCCTGAAGTCCTAGCTACTTCCACCATCATGGCTTTCTTTCTGTAGGTATGTTTTGTGTTTCCTACTTTGCAAAAAATATCAGTCCTGGCTGACTATAAGTAGGTTAACTAAAAACAGCCTGGTAATACGAAATTGTGCAGAGCACCAACATTTAAGGCTACAAACCATGCCACGTTACTATAGCCCAAAAAAATGTCCAGTTTCAGGTGGGTAAATAAGAAGCCATGTTTGCATGTTTGATTATGTGCTACATGTATGCTACTCCTGATACGCCTGTCTCCTGTGTTGTCTCCAATACTCCTGCTGGAGTTCTCTCAGATTGGCCTCTAACATTTCTACCTCGTCTAGACGTCCCGCAGCCCTGGCCTGTTCTACAAAACTTCTGATGATGTCCATTTGCTGAAGCATTGGGTCTGTCTCAGTGGTCGCTACGCTACTGGAATCCACCGTGGGGGTCCACCCCTTTCCTATACTTTCTGTCCGATCTCGGTTTGCTGTGTCTACGGTTGATGCTGTTGCGCCGCCTTTTCTGTCTTTTTCTGGCGATCGTTTTCTTTGCTCCTCGTTTCGCCGTCGCTCCTCGGCTTCTAACGCGGCCTGACGTTCCAAGGCTAAGCGTTGTTCGATCTCTAACCGGCGCTGTTCCTGAAGCTTGCGGAGCTGGTCCTCGCTGGGTAAGGACGGGAGACCGAAGACGTTGTCCTGGATGAAGAGGGTGCAGTGTTTGCGGATGCCCTGCTGCAGCCGGATGGCCTGGGGACTCAGCTGCTGCTCAGCTCCACTCGCTCCCATAGTAGCAATCTTCTTCCTGTAGGATTAAGGCATATTGTTTTTTTTTTTTATATTCCAACATTTCATGATTAGACATGGCGACGGCACCCTCAAGTTATATCAACTTATTTTATGCCGCCAACAATGCAGAGGACAAATACAGGACAGGACAATACTCATTTTAACTTGAGTTACATGTAAGTGAGGAAAGCCGTGTAAAGTGCCTTTCCCAAGAGCATGTCAGGATTCGAACCCGGGACCTCTTGGTTCTAAGTTGAGCACTCTGCCACTACGCCACACAACCCCACTACTACATATTCGCAGTACTTGTATATTTCCTAGGCCTTATAATTTCATAAATGCCTGCAGACAGAATACTATGTAACACAAATGGTGTGGATACTTGTAAATGTAGAAAATGGACTCAGGAATTCATTTTAATTGGAGTATACTGTAATTCACAGGGGGGTCAGAGGTTGTTCTCTTGTTTTCATTTATACAATGATTTTCTGCTGTTAGAAAAGTAAGAACGTTTTACTAAATGGACACTTTGGAAGTCAGTCAAGTGAGTTTTCAATCATAGTTGAACAATCAAGTAGGTGATTTTTTGACAGCATATTTTTTACATGCTTACCATATACATGTATTTCAATGGAACCTTGAAATAGTGGTCTGTGCCCTCTAGTGTAACAACACAGAATACATGTGTACATACCCAATGGTGTCAATGGCCTCGTAACATCTCATCAGCTGACTGCGAATGTTGTTGGCATGTTCTAGGTTGTAGCTGGTCTCACCAGCACTGAAGACAGAAACAACAAAAAGTTATAATTATTAGCCAAATATATGATGGAGATATTCCACTGCCAAATATTTCCGCACACTTAAAGTAAATGTAGTGAGGATTAGCAAAAGAAATATTTCATGTTTTTTCTGTAAAGGAACAACATGCAATATGAAAAGTGCACAAATCTGGAAGTCATTTGCACTGTTGTTAACGACTTACTTGAGAGATTCGGCCATTTTGGTGTACTCCGGACACATGGCCTCCACCTTGTCCATCAACATGCGCAGTTTCTACCAGGAAACAAAAGAGTTAGAATGAAACACAACTGGTTCATCTTTCCAACCGTTTACCTCAAACATAATTAGTACTTATGCCTTACTTATCCTTTGAGTTAGAAGATCTTGCAGAAGATTGCACCACCAGAACAACAGATTGTTTACAAACAGTGATCAACTTAGTTTCAAACATTTAGAAGTAACATTTGCAAAGCAAATGCATAATGTTTACCTTCGGACATGGTCTGCCCTATTAATTTTTACTCATACACATTCGCATACATGTACTACTAGTATATGGTGACAGGAGTAGAGCAGACCATGAAGTTTGCAATGTTATGTAACGCAACACCAGTCACCATGGTGACAGACGTCAACAAATCATGTCATTGGCCAGGTCAGAGGTTAGTGTTTGGAGAAGAAGAAGAGGAAGAGGAAATTGAGTAAAAACAATATGTTTTCCTTCGGTAAACATAATAAAATCATGTCTAGCACTGAACACAACAATCTTAGGGTAGTCAGAGGGGGCATATTTCATTGCCTCCCCTGGAAATTTTTAAATATCCACCTCTGAAATGCTACAAATTGAATGTATTTTGCAATCTAGGGGGTCCAGGGACAAATTTTGTATTAATTTTTTAAGTATCTAAAAATTATTTCCCACATTTTGACAGGCAAATCATGTGGTTGATCGGTGTGGTTGTTAGGGGTCCTTCAGATTATTTTATAGCTTGCCCAAGATTTTTGTCAATTTTGTCCATCAAGGTTGACGGATTGGTTTAAAAATTTTTCCGTTACACGCCACAATGTTGTTGCAACTGACGGAAAAACGGGTGCTGGCTAGAGCAAAACCACAAAATCGCAAAACCACACCCACCTCGTACAGTTGCACAATGACAGGTTTTGTTGTTTTCTCCTGGATCTGTCTCTCCCTGCGCCTCATGACAGCCATGCAGTCCTGACACGTCCTGATGCCGTCCTCCCGAGGCTCCTCCCCCACCACCTCGCCCACCAGCGAGCGCAGGCTCTCCATGGCACGTGTTCCCGCGCTGCCCTGCCGACGGTGACCCTTCTCCTCACCCCGGATGTGCTGTACAGGGGGGTTACCCGCCTTGTTTACCAGCTTTGCTTTGGGGGGAAAACAACGGAGGACAAGTTGAATTTATGAATAAATGAAGATCTATATTGTACACACGTGTACCCCTTGGGTTAAGTACAGGTCACAACAAAAGACTAGTGACCTTGTACCCTTGATAAAGGTACTTAACAGGACTTTCCTCACTTAACTCAGGTAAAAATGTCTCAATACCTACATGCAGCTCTCTGGTTAGGGACTTTGGACAGGATGTTACATGAAGGTCCATGTTTGAGGAGAGTCACATCCCATGCACATTCAAGAACCCACCACATACCACACGGCGTTCAAATACTACACTCTGAGATGATGATTCACAACAAATTACCTGGATGGAGGTCTGGCATCACTAGGACTCCAGGAAGAACAGTGTGAATTGGCACATTTAAGGCACCCAGTGCAGTTTTTAGGACTTGAAAACCAGATTTTTCAAAGTCAATATTCAAGTCACTTACCTACATACTAAGTTAAAACAATACAATCCTAATGTACAATGTATAAAGACATTCATAGTGCAAAAATGCCCAAAATGTTGACAAAAAATGGTTACTGGGAAGTTTTTAGGGTACCACCCACAAAATAAAGGTCTAATCTTGGGGCTTGTTTCTGCAGGTTTAAATGCTTCAAGTTTGAAATACTGATTCAACTGTGCTAATGTGGGACAGTATGTGTCAATATCATACAGGTCGCCTGATTCAGAATATTTCCAGTTTTGCTGCCTTAAGATTGCATTGGATGCCTTTAATGGAGATCCTAAACCAACAAACTGACCAACCAATCCTGTCTTACCTGTGAATATCGGTGTGAGGAACTCGGAGCACCTGTTACACATGATGCCCCCACACAGTCTGCAGTGGTGCCGTCGGCGGGACAGGTTAAACTTCTCCCCACAGGTGGGGCAGTACGGCACCGCGTCGTCTGGCGCCCAGGGGACCAGGCCGATCTCAAACTCTGCGGGGTGGGGGGATGGAAGGGGAATTATTGTCATGATCTGACTATACAACACTGGATTCCTATAAGGGTCCATTCTGTGACCAAGGCTGATGGAGTCGGTCGAAAGTTTGGGTAAGTCCCAATTTACTTAGTGTTGGATAGAACGGTTAGCCCTTTTGGTCATAATGAAGTATACCAAGTTTCTCTGGTTTGTGAGCTCGCTCAGGAGCTCGAAATGCACAACAGATGAACTTTCATGCTAACACTGGATTCCTGTTTAAGGCCTAGGAAAAAATGTTGTGTATCCTGACCTACCCTAGTCTTTTTCTGTGTGTGGACATACAAATTCTTCAACCTGATCGACCATTTCTAGCTCCATGTGATCTGACACCTGAGTGATGAAACGTTGTACAATTGGTTTTCTACATTGGCATTGAAAATATAAGTGTCCTCATGCAAGTTTTACTTTGTTATACTGTCTTTTATACGTTGGATCACTTGAGATTGCCAAAGTCTAAAAAAATGGGAACAAAAGATAATCCCCACCTATACTGACACTAATTTTTCAGGACTGAAACAGGAAACACTACATTTCTATTTCCTAGGCCTTATTACAATATTAGGAAAACCATCATCAACGTGGCCAGCTCAGTATTCTAGCCAGTGTCTTTCCATCATTTGACAGACTTTTGGTTCCCATGTCCCTGTCAGACAGACCAATATCTTTTTAAATGTCTATTAGGGGGGTTTTACCATTAGAGAAAAAAAACTATTAGCATAACATGATGGCTAACAATGCAGGGATTGCAGGCTATTACTGGTAGTCTAATGGTCTCATCAGCACCTAATTAGAATTTGACAAAACATTACATTTGGTAATAAGCCACTTTCATACCTTTTTTCTTGACTGGATCTGGATTCATCCTATCAAATGCTAACATCTGTAGGGAGAAAGAAAAAAAGTAATTCATTAGTGAGAAAATGAGCTGACATTGTTTTCCAAATGAATCACATGATTGTACATGTACTAGTAGCAGAAAAGTGGCAATTCATTCTAATGTAATCAGTTTTCTGTCATTCTGTTTCAACATGTAATTATTTGTTTCAATCATGGTTTAGTCACAGGAGGAATGAGAGAAATCCCACTATGTCAGGAGTGAATTGAAAGTAGTGGGAAGACGGAATCTTCCACTGTCACAGTTCAGAGAGGTTTGATGTAAACTACCTCCTTTACACTCCTCACAAAGTAATCCTACTCATGCCCGTAGCCAGGGGGACGAACCCCCCCACAAGGCTCAAAGGTCCACTTTTTGGTCCACTTCTTATCTAAAGGTCCAAGATTTTTCATTAAAAGATGGACTGATTTGTGTCACCAGTGAGGGTGGAATCGTAGGAAAACGGCTCACTCCGTCATTGGAAAAAGTTATCTCTGATTTTTCTTTGCAATCCTCTAAAATTCCATTTCAGAAGGTCCATTTTTCAAAATTTCCCGGGGAAGCCCAGGAAAATTTTGTCATCATGCCAAATTCCCCCGGACCCCCCT